GCCAGGCTAACCCACCAGAACAAATAATCACCATTTGCTCGGCTCTGGCTGTGTCCCACTGTAGCAGGCAGCAGGTGGGAAGGAGCTGGGAGGCAGAGCACAGTGACCCAAGAACCCTGGGCGGCCTCGGGGCTAGACTCTCAAAGAACTTGAGCAGCACAGTCTGGGCCCTTTGGTGTCAAAGCCAGGCTAAACCCCAGCCAGGAAGTGAGCCCTGCCGGCTGATGGCAGGGACCAGGATGGAGAAAAAGAGGAAAACTTTAGTCCCTAAATTTTTAAATCGCTTTGGGTAAAAAAGCAAAGGGGAGGCTCTGCAGGTGCCAGGGGAAGAGGGTAAGAACAACCTCACAGGCAATTCCAAGGCCTTCAAAGCCACAAACCAAGCACAGTCGGCCCTGACGCAGCATCAGCTCAGACAGCAGGGAGTGAGAAATGCCCAGCACGTTCCTCCTTCTCTCTCAAAGACCCCAGGGCGAGCATCCACACTGAGGGCGGCCTGCTTGCACCTGCCCTGAGTCCCAACTGCACAGCCTAGAACAGTGTTCATGACCTTGAGGGCCGTGGTGATGCTCTGCCCTGCACCCCCACTGCAGCCGCTGAGGGCGCAGCCTGGGTGGGGAGCCTCCCAGGATCTTGCAACTCACCCCCCCACACACACACACACACACAGGGACCAAGTGCCACACAGTGTTCTCAGCTGGGGAGTACGGCTCGCTGCTCACACACAGCACTGCACACACAGATGGGTTCAGAACCGGGACCAGCCCTGGGCCTACCAGGAATTGGACTGAGGGGGGTCTTCTTCCAACTAAACGTGCATGTGTTTATGAAAAGAAAGAAAGCAAGATGATCTACACGTTGGTATTGTCACATATCACTTCAAGATGCCTGAATTTTCTGAATAATGAACGTGTAATATTTTTTTCTGAAAAGGGCAGTTTTGTGAGGCCAGTATCATGGTGTAGAGGGTTAAGACATTTCCTGCAATGCCAACATCCCATATTGGCATCGATTTGAGTCCCAGCTGCTCCACATCCCGGCTGCTCCCTTATAACAGCCTAGGAAAGTGGCACAAGATAGCCCAAGTCCTTCAGCCCCTGCCACCCAGTGGGAGACACAGAAGATGCTCCTGGCTTCTGGCTTCCTGTTCAATTGGAGAGTGAACCTACAGATGCAAGATCTGTGTGTGTGTGTGTGTGTGTGTGTGTGTGTGTTTCAAATCAATTCACAAATCTATTTAAGAAAAAAAAAAGCAGTTTTCTTTAGTAGGGCTTTCTGATTATTTTTATTGGAAAGAAAGATTTATAGAGAGAAGAAAAAAAGAGAAAAAGATCTCTCATCCACTGGTTCACTCCCCAAATGGCTGCAAAGGCTGGAGCTAAGCCACTTGGAAGCCAGGAACCTCTTCCAGGTCTGCCACATGGGTGTAGGGTCCCAAGGCTTTGGGCCGTCCTCTACTGGCCATAAGCAGGGAGCTGGATGGGAAATAGAACAACTGGGATATGAATCAGTGTGTGGGTATGGGATCCTGGTGCTTGCAAAGGGAGGATTAGCGAGTTGAACCATTGCACCAACTCCTATTTGGGCTTTCGTTCATATAACTGACATAACTATGAAGACAGAAGAACATGGAGATGGAAAGAGGGGGTCATCTATTCCTGCAACCCCACCCTCTGTGCTTCCCACATTCTTTGTGGGGAAAACAGTTTTGTTCCAGAAACTTCCCAGGAAGCCCGGGAGGCTCAAGGGGAACTCGCTGTCATCCTACACCCCCTGCTCAGCTGACAGGCTGACCGTGGGGAAACCAAAAAGCACTTCTGGTTGTGCTAACTCTGAGTAAGCACTTCCGACAGCTGCAGGTGCTGACCACACTCCAGCCCACTGGACCAGGGTCTGTCAGCCCACCTGCTGGCCATCCACGACAGCCCTAGGGCCTTCCCCAGTGGTGACCCTTGCACAGCAGGTCTTCTTCCAGGAGGACAGAGAGAGGCATTGCAGTTAGCAGAAAACCTTAAAAGGTATATTGATGCTGATGTTTTGTTGGGGCTTTTAACTGACCGGAACTTTACTCTGTTAGCTCTACCTTCAGACCAGAGAAGGTTTCCCCAAGAGGCCACTGAACTTATCTGGACAATAAGATGCTGGACTTTATGCTAGGTATATGCTTGCAATGAAGGAATCTCAACTGAACTTGAACTGTGGTTATGCAGCAAGGGGGAGGAATCCACCATGGGGAGAGGGGTGTGGGAGGGGTGGGGGTAATCCCCAGTGCCTATAAAACTATCACATAATACAATGTTAATAACAATTAAAAAAAAACCTTAAAAGGAAAGATTTTCTCACCCCAGGTTCCACACAAGCCCACTGCTGCCTCAGGACCCTCAAAAGCACTCATGATTACTGTTTGTCGTGGACATCTTTATTTTTTTAAGGCTCTCAGTTTCTTTTATTATAAAGCAAAGCTATGGAGAAAGAGATCCATCTTCCATCTACTGGTTCACTCCCCAAATGGCTGCAACACCCAGAGCTGAGGCCCTTCCGGGTCTCCCCTGTAAGCATAGGGTTCCCAGGACTTGGGCCATCCTCTGCTGGAGAGCTAGGCTGGAAATGGAGCAGCCAGGACACAAACCAGTGCCCACCTGGGTTACGGTACTCTAGGTGGAGGTTTAGCCTACCTACTCCACAGTGCCGGCCCCTGTTGTAAACACCCTTATCCATTAGGAAGTGGGTGACCCAGAGGTGATCTGTCCACATCCCTTGATGTCTCCTTTTCTGGACCCAGCAGGCAGGGAAAGCGAAGGAACCCTGCACCCCAACTTCAGGTGCATGTGGTGGGCAGATTCTCATGTAGAAACCAGGGGGCCAGCGATGACACGCGTGCACCCTGGGCTCTGGCAGGCAGCAGGCTTGTCTCCTGGGAACTCCAGGCAGGGCTGGCTACAGACGTGCGAGCTGTGCAGCTGCCCAGGGCGCTGCTCTCAGAGGTGCTCGGGCTCCATTTAACACCCTGTCGTCACCATCCTGAACCTCATCTTCCTGTCGGACCCAGGACCCACCAGATGATGTGGCTGCTCCTGGCTCCACACCTTCCCTCGTGGTGGCACTTTTTATTACAATGCCACGCCCCAGCTCCCAGAACCCCTTGCCCATTGGCCTCATCCTGAGCCTTCCTAATTCTTCGTGCCCCTTCTCCCCTCCATGACCTCCCCCACCCCAGACGGGCTTTGCTCAAGCTGCCTTCAGGAGCTTATCCATGTTGTACCCAGGCTGGTTGGCTCCTCCCATCTGTTTCATGCACAGTCAAAGCCAGAAGCAATTTTCCCCTGGGCAACACCAGAAGGAGCGTTTCTCTTGCCCCCCACCCTGGTCTCCATTATTCTGCAATTCAGCCTGCAACCACAACCTTCCAAGGAGAGGTTTTGCCCTAGGGGAAAGCTGTACAGACACAAACCCAGGGCAGCGCTGGTTCCTCGGGTGTGAGCCAGGGAGGGTCCACTGCACGTCTGAGCGGGACTGGCCTTGGGGACAGCCTGATGACCAGTTCACGCAAATGCCTCTTCACCATGGACCTCGCCACTTCACCCCAGGAAAAGGTGGACACTGGCCACTCATCTCCACCCCCAAGGTGAAGAGCAACTGCTGAAATGGCCAGCCACTCAGTTTTCCCACACCCACGGTCCCTAACATGAACGTGAAAAACCATTCCGAGGAACAAAAGTTGGTGGGAGAAACTGATATACAGTTTGGCAATACAAGAGTCCGGGCTTGGTCACAGGACTTTATTTTTGGAGCACAATAACAGCAATGCAACTAGGAGTGTTTTCCATGCCCACCCTGCCCATGGTAGGTGTCACAAAGACATACTGAGACTTTGGAAAAAATTCCAAAGGGGATTACACTTGACAAGTGCTGTTTCTTCACTTTTTTTTTTTTTTTTTTTAGGATCTGTTTATTTCTTTGAAAGAGTTTCAAAGAGAGAAAGATCAATTTTCTATCTGCTGGTTCACTCCCCAGAAGGCTGCAATACCCAGTCCTGGGCCAGGAACCAGCAGCTTCATCCAGGTTTCCCACATAAATGCTCAGGCCCACACATTTGGGTCATCTTCTGTTGCTTTTCCCAGGCCACTAACTGGATGGAAGAGGAGCAGCTGGGCCACGAACCGGCGCCCATCCGGGACACCAGCAACATCGACAAGAGCTTCACTCACTATGCCACAATGCCAGCAGCCCACGTGTGTGTGTGTGTGTGTGTGTGTGTGTTAATCACAGCAAACTAAATAAGAAAGCTTTACAGCTTACTAAAATTCAAACTTATCCTCAAAGGCAGGAGTTTAAATATATCCAACTCAGCGAGACTGTGGTTCCACATCGAGAGATGGAGCCAGAGACGCAAAAAACAATTCTAACTGAAAACGTGTCCGGTCCAGGGGAGAAACCACACGAACCCAAGCGCAGCCTCGGCAGGAAGTGTGGGTCCTCAGCGGCACTCAGGCCCTAGAAGATGAGGCGAAATGGCCAGTGCAGCGTCCTCTTGGGGAAGAAGGCAGTGAGGCACAGATGGGATCTGAGCCATAGGAAAATCTGATTTCAAACTGGGCGGAAGGCCCTGCGAGACCTCACGTACCCTTATCTCCAGCAGCAACGTGAGCCCTGAACAGCCTGGGACAACATCCGCAAACGAAGAAGCGAGCCACTGCTGGAGGACAGCCATGAGCATTGCACTGGGCAGATGCTGTGCCCAGGTGCCAGGGGTCCCTGAGGCTGGAGGCAGGCCATGGCAACACTGGCTCACTTCCTGTCTCTGGCAAATGGTTCAGCCCCTTCTCCTCGGTCTCTCCCACTCAAGGTTTCTGAGCAAAAATCTGCACTTACCCGGCCTAGGCAAGCTAAGAAGGCACGGCCAGCGGAGGACCTGTTCTAGAACCTGCCACAGGGAGTGGCTGAAGGGCTGAGTCAGGAGCCAATAGATTCCAAGAATCAGGCGCACGGGGGGCGAGGGCGGGGAGAGGCTATTTGCGCTGCTTGGTTTGTGTGTGCCACAAGGGAGGTAGGCTGTGGAGACAAAGTGTCCTGCCTTTGCTTACTACTGGCACAAGTGACAATGCCAAGGCTACAAGCAGAGCCCACAGGGCAAGCGAGACGCCAAGCCCCAGTCCCCCGCCCCCTACATTTCAAACGTTGATGAAGAAAGTTCTCAGCCTTTTGCAAGCTTCTAATCACTCCGCGTATATGGTGATAGATGTGGGCTCACACACAGGCTTAAACAACAGGAGTCTTGGCCCGATCCCTGTGTTTGTGGTGGGGGTTCTGTGGCCCTCCTGGGTGTGCCCCTGCAGTTGCGGATACCCTCTAAGGCCTACTGGGACTTGCTACTTGCAGTGTGCCTGAAATTCCCTCCACGCAGCTGGCCGCAGTCCCAGAGAGGCCGCCGAGCGGCGGGACACCGGCCGCCAACACGGAGGTGGATCCCCTGCTGCAGCTGACCCAGAGCCAGGCAGGCAACCAAGGGTGAGGCAAGACCCGGGCCGTTCCTTGCCGGGGCTGCACTGGTCCCTTAGGGGGTTCCCGGCTGCGCGCCCTCCCTCGAGGATCTCTGCAGGAGGAGCAGTAGGCCGGCGAGGTCGGAGAGCGCGGGGAACGCGGCCAGGGCGCTGTCCACCTGCTCCGGCGGCAGGAGCGAGCAGAGCGCGGAGCGCGCCCGGGCGCGCGCGTGCTCCGCGCAGTCACAGGTGCGGTGACCCCAGGCTGGCTCAGTCCAGGCCGAGCGGCTGGGGAAGCGGTCAGAGCTGGGTAGGCGGGCCCACGGGTCACCGGGCAGGTCCCGGGCGCAGTGGCCGCCCGGCGGCTGGAGGAGCGGCCCGGGAGGAGGCGGGAGTTCCCCCGCTGCGAACGCGCTCTGTGGGCTCAGAAGGCCGGGCAGGGCTGGCCCTGGACCCGCGAGGCAGGGCGGCTGCGAGGCGGCAGCAGCGCTACCGGCCTGTGGGCATGGCGAAGGCCCGGGCACCCGGCCGCCCTGGGGTACCCAGTCGGACCGGCGCAGCCGGGGCGCGGCACCCGGGGGTCGCGTCCCAAGGGGCCCCGGGCCGTCGCTGAAGGTCAGGCGGGAGAAGCTCCCTTGGAGAGCAGCCAGGTCGGCGGGCGGCCGCACAGGCTGGAGGCTGGGCGTGCCTGGTTCGCGCGGAGGCGGCCGGGTCGCTGCGCGGCCACCCGGGGCTCCCCCAGGCCAGGCGCGCGTCTTGGAGCGGAGCTCGTCGGCCACCGCGAGCTGCGCGTGGTGCGGCCTCTCTGGATGGTAGAACTTGCACTTGACGCCGTAGGTGCATTTCTTGCCTGGGGTGAGCAGGGCAGAGAGGGTGCGGGTGAGGCCACACGGCACAGGGCCACCTGGTTCCAATGCGGTCAGGGCAGGGTCCACCCTGCGGCACCCTCTACGGGGATCCCTGCCTCCTTAGCACCCTGAAAAGGCACAGCATCTGGAGAGATTTAGGATGGAGGCTCTGGAATAAGAGCCTTAACTCTTAACTCTTAACTCTTATAACCAGCTCTGACCAAAGTCCCTAAGAGCTGGTACGGGGCCGGGCTGAGGACACTGGCTGAGGACACCTGCCAGGGGCAGGTAAAGGGGTTAAAAACAGGCGCTAGGAGGTGGTGTGCACACCACCTTGCAGTTTCTCACACACTTGGCGACCTGTGTGATCTCTGCCTCCCACCCTCCCCGCCAGTCGCGTGCACCAGCTATCCCGGTGCCAGTCCATCCTCACAATGGCCCGTTAGGAAGCTGCAGTCCTGGCTGGTTAAGACATCTCTCTGGCATCACTCAGCCGGGTAAGGCTGAACTTGCCCTTTCCCCTGACTTCCAAGCCAGCATGTTTGTGCTCCTGCGCTGCCCCCACACCCCACCCACGAGGCCCTGGGTGCTACTCACCATAGGGGCAGTGCTGCCAGGAAGGTTCAGGAGGCCTGGGCTTCCTGCTCAGGAAGTTGCTCAGGGTAGGCCCATGGCGGCCCAGGGGGTCATCAGGAGGCATGAACCTGCAAAAAAAAAAACAAAAAACAAAAAAACAAAAAAACCAGCAGGGTGACTGCAGGGCCATCTGGGACTTGCCCAGGGCTTTGGAGGAGCAGAGCCTCTGGTGCTGGGGTCCGTGCAGTGGGTGTAGATGACACGAAAGTGTGAAGAGAACAGCTCCCCTGTGCAGCAAGGCCAGGGGGAGTTTGCAGCTGCATGGGCACTCAAGCACCCCACTAAGAATTCTGTATTCTATTGAGGCATTGTTGTTTGCCCCTGTGAGACAGTTTTTGCAGGTTGTTGCAACTGATGTGAGCTTGAGAGTTAATGTCACTGATAATGTCTTGGTGAGTGGGCCTTTGACAATTTACACACAGGAACACAATTAAGCCCATGCCATTTCTGGACACCTTATTGTGTACCTACCCATTGCCCTGAAATCGGGCCCAGACATACAGCACACCCTCTGGGAAGGGGCTTGATATATATGTCTTAAATACTAATGCAAGTGATGGGAGTGAGAGCTGAAACTGCTATGGCAAGAAATATAGTTATTGTTATCTCAAAGGCTAGCCTGCCTTTGCAATTTTTTGGAGCCTAGAAAATGTAATTGTTTTAGCTGCTTTTATAATTTTTAGCTAGAGGAATTAAGGATGCTTTTATTAACAAAAAATGCTTTTGATTATTGCTTTATTGTTTATGGGGTTGTAGGGGTCTATAGTTGTAGGGGGATTTAACATTTGAAGTTTTTGTTTTAGATTTTAGGTTTTTCCCTTGTAACTTATTTTCCCATTAAATGATGGGTAAAATGTAGAAGTAAAAATGTGGTGGGAAAGTAGTACTGATTAGCAGGTAATCGCATGTGCCTTGGCCTTGGAGTCCTGGCTGTTGCTCCATGGCTACTGTTGAAGAATGAATAATGGCTTGCTTTGAAGAATATGAATACAGTATTTGCAGAATTGTCTCTAGGCGCACCTGCTTAGCCCTGAAGTGCAGACGGAATGACCAAATGTCTGTACAGGCCCCCTTAGTCTTGAAGTAAAAAGCAGAACAATTAGTTGCTTGTGTAGAAGCTTGAGAAGGGTTTTGAGAAAATAAAAAGGACAGCTTTTTCTGGAGCTGTGGTGAGAACGCACCAAGTGTCTGTGTCTGTGTCTTTCTTTATCGCCGACTCCACGCACCCTTCCCGAGCTCCGAACTCGGCTGGAGCTGGACTCCGGCACTCTGGGAAGAACCCACGCAGAGCACAGCACAGCCTTGGCCTCATCACAGTGCTTCCCTGTTCTGCTTCAAGCAACTTGGGAAAAAACAGGCTTGGGCTTTGTGAATCAGAATCCGTACTTCCCTGGGTGATTTTTTTTTCCCTTAAGTACAGGAGAACTGCATGATATTTGCTTTGCTTGCAGGCTTCACTTTGTTCCTCCAATAACGGGCAGAAACATCTAGTGCCTAAAACGTTCTGCGGTTGCATGAGTGTCCCAAGCCTTGGGCGTCCCCTTTTCCTGCACTCCCAGCTCTGAGCCTCTAGAGACTGGAACGGCAGGGGCAGGGAAGTGTTTGCAGGCGCTGCGTCCACACAGTGCACCCAGGTCTACTTGGCATCCTCACCTACAAATCCCGGAAGCACTTGGCCCTGGCTCAGCCTCAGGGGCTACAGCTTCTCTGCGCCTGTCCCCCGTCTGCTCTGGGTGCCCAGGGGAAAGCGGCTTCTGCCAGAGGACACCCCAAGGAACTCGGATGAGCCTTGCTGCTCCCAGGCTCCGCCGGCAGTGGCATGGTGGGTCAGACCTGCAGGACCGGCTACTTCAGGGCTGGTGAGCCCCGAGAGCCACGCCAAGGTCCCAGCCCACAGAGGAGCAAACCATCCTCAGCGAGCTCCCTGGCTCAGCTCCCAGCTGCACAGCCAGCCTCTCAGGGTTGGGCCCTGACCAAGAATCTGGGGAGCCGTCCACTGTGGTTATTAAAAGATCCCCAAGGCTTCACCCTCATGCTCCCTCAGGAGCAGAGCTGTGCCAAAAGGGCCCTGTGGCCATGCCCAGGGTGCCCGGCGGGCTGCCCTCGCTCAAGGCAAGGCCTCCTGTGCATGGGAATGGCTTGGCTTGGGCGCCAGGCTGTCACCCGACCAGAGGCAGCCACAACCCCTTTAGACCTCAAGCGCCCTTCTGGAAGCCATACTTGGCAGGCTTGCCAGATTCTTCCAAGCTGAAAACGGGCAGTGTGAGCTGCCGAGCTCGCGCATCTGGAAGTGACAGTGGGTGTTGGCCCTGCAGCTGCAGAGTTAGCTCCCTCCTCTCTGGGCAGGTGGGCTGGCCTGGGAATATCTGGTCTAGCCTGGAATAGCTCTGCCCTTCATGTGGACTGGCTCTCCGTAGTCCTCACATTAGACCTCAACATCAGCTGAGCCATCCCTCATCCGGGTGAGGAAGTTCATCTCAATGAGGCCAAGTCAGTGGCAAGGTTTCGGCAGGAACTCACCTGACCAGCTCTGCAACTCCAGCTCTTCCGACCAGGCCACACTATCCCCTGACTTCAAGGGCCAGTGGCTGCTCCGTTACAGGCCAAGCAGCCTGTGCCCAGCCCACAGTGCCCTCCTGTCTCCCCAGCCTTCATCCCCCCACCACCACTCATTACTGCATGCCTAGTAGGTGCCAGGCGGGCTAGGAAGGTGCCCCTAGCCTTCAGAGAGAACTCGTTTCTTACCACATTCTAATAAAGGCAGCCAGGGAGCCAGAACCAGGGCTAAGCAGTCCTAGCCTGGAACAGAAGCTGAAATGGGAGCATCATCGCAGTTTGCTGTGCCCATCCCCGCCTTGTCCCATGCCACTCCAGTTTGCAGAGCCACACCTGCTGTGCCAGGCCTCCAGTGTCAGCCGTTCGCAGTCCTAAGGAACCTTTCTCTCCCACCTTAACTTGGGCTGAAAGTTTTCAATCTACTCTGCTGGCCAGTTTGCACCTGGTAACCCTCATACCCCTCTCTGCCAGCCTGACCAGGGTAGGCTTGAACCAGGAGACCAAGCTAGGAACCAGTCCCTGGTGAGGATCATCCGACCTGCAGGTTATTGAAGACCTGGGACATCCCTGGGTCTGACCCTGCCGAGACAACCAGAGACGGGCCTCACACTTCAGGTCAGCTCCAGCAGGCTAACGGTGTGGGCTAATCATTTTGTATGGCTTCCAGATAATGTGCCAAACACCCACGTGGCCCCTGACCAAAGGAGAGCGTCCCTGGGCTCTGCGCTAGACAAACCAACCAGGTCCTCCTGAATGTCTCGACCAAGAGTCACAAACCGGCATTTGTGGGCCAGTTTGGCTCAATGAAGATTCTAGAATGTTACCCACTCTCACATCTAATTAAACATTATTTCAACTGAAATAAGAGAAATGAAATTATACTGAGTTTGAATCTGTCCGTGATGGCTATGTCAAGGCTATTAATTGAAGTATTATATTCTTAAATTAAGAAAAAAAAATTTGTGTTGTCTTGAGTACCTGCTTGGCCGACTCGCGTGGTACGTGTCTGGGTCAAAGCAGCCGCTCTGGGGAACGCTGGTCACGCACAGCAGACTCCAGCCAGCGTTGACCACGTGGCCAGGGTAGCAGAGCCAGGGACAGGGCGTGCCTAGGACTCCTAATCCCAGCCGCCTAGGCCCGGATGTGTCCCCCGCCCGCCGCGGGTCCCGGAACCCCACCTCCATACCGGTCATTGACAAAGGAGAACATGAGCAGGCGCTGCTCGATGAACCACTTCCACTCCGGGTTCTCGCTCTGCAGGTCGCGGTAGTTGTCGTTGGACACGATGACGCCGTCCTGCTCGTAGGCCACCTTCACGATGTAGCGGTCGTCGTAGCAGACCACTCGCTTGCCGTGCACCTTGCGTGACGGGGTGTACACCAGCACAGCCTGCCGCTCCAGCTGCTCCAGCACGTGCTGCTCTGGGCCACGGGGAGAAGCCGGAGTCACAGCTTGGCGGGGAGGGGCTCCCCATCCCTGAGCCCCCAGCGGAAAGGCTGCCATGCCTCCTCCCTGACCCCAAAGCCCAGCCGCCCGAAGGAGGAGTAGGGAGGTTTTTAGGGGGAGAGAGGCATCACCCACTTCTCCCCACCGTGGTGTCACTTCTATGGCTAAGTTTCACTGAACTTGCCAGCAGCCTGCAGTCCCAAGGGCCCTGGCGCTGCCCTGCCTGCATCATTATGGCAGGCACGCATCAGGGCTGGACCTCAAGGCGGAAGTCGCTGAGAAGGCCGATTTCAGCCTATCCGTGTGAGGCTTACCTGCCAGGACACCTCTATGGTAGCAGATGAAAAGAGACCTTCCGTTTGACCTAGGCCCTTTCCACCTGGAATGCACCTGTTGAGCCCTCAGCTTGGAACAAGGGCCTATCCTGCCCCAGACAAAAATCAGCTTGCAGACTAGAGCATCCCATAGGTGACATCTCTGAGGGACCCAAGAATGCAGTGGGAAGCAGCCCAGGCTAAGGATGCACAGCCCAGAACCTGTGCCCAGCTCTGTTGTAATGTCAGGTATTACATGTCTAAAGTGAAGGGGGCAGCAGTTCCTTGCCCTTCCCCGCAGTGTTTGTGCACGGGCTGAGTAAGCCCCAGGCACCGGAGAGCTCTTTGCAAAAACTAGCTGGGAAGTGGCCAGGAACCAGGTGGTTCATGCTGCAAGGTTCCAAGGCCTTCCTAAAATCTGTATGCCAAGAAGGCCTGCTTGCTGCTCAGAGTCTTGCCCTGGGAGAGATACAAGAGAACATTCCGTCTGTGCACAGTAGTTAGGCAGAGGATTAGATGCTCAGGGTGCGGCAGCCACTCTGAGAACAGAAGGCAGCCCCTGCTTAGGAAGTCCGGCCCCTCTCCCTTCCGGTTCCCAGGTCTCCCCATCCCCCTTAAGATGATCATGCTTTAGAATCTCCTTTATAATGACCTTGCTTTCTTTAAAAAAAAAAAATATATATATATATATATAGTATGATTATTGGGAAGTTAGATATACAGAGAGGAGGAGAAACAGAAAGGAAGATCTTCTGTCTGTTGATTCACTCCCCAAGCAGCTGCAACTGCTAGAGCTGTGCCCATCCAAAGCCAGTATCCCAGAGCCTCTTCTGGGTCTCTCACATGGGTGTAGCATCCCAAGGCTTTGGAGTGGCCTTGACTGCTTTCCCAGGCCACAAGCAGGGAGCTGGATGGAAAACAAGGCCTCCAGGATTAGAACCGGCACCCATATGGGATCCTGGCACATGGCAAGACAAGGACTTTAGCTGCTAGGCTACCGCACCGGGCCCTTACATTCATTTTTGTAGATATGTAGAGGAAAGCACCATTTCCAACGTGGTTATGCATCAAACACAACACAACTTCAGTCACACCGTACGTGCACTTAGCCACTGCTGTCCATCATTGGCCGCTGGGTCGGCGGGGCTTGGCTGAGCTGATCCACCTCTGGCTACGAGTCAGAGGGCACATCTCTGGGAGTGAATGCCACAGAACCGTGTAGGGAAATCACGTGCTGAATTGTGGTCAAGATGGATCTACCAAGTCCCACACCCCCCAAGGCACCCTCCCCTAAGACACTGTCAGCCTCTGAATCGCGCCTGTCCGGAAGGCAGGGAGTGGCTCCGATGGCGGTGTGCTTCTGCACGTTGGTGCTTACGGATGAGGCGTTCTCGTGCGTTCGCTGGGGTTTGTGCTCTCTCCCTGCCCATTCAAGCGTAATCTCATTGCCTTTATCTCGTTACAACCTAGAGCAGTCACGGTCTCTTAGCCAACCATTTTCAGCAGCTCATGATGCCTTAGCTTGTGCTTGTTTGAGAATTTCTTTTTTTTTTTTTCAGTTTTTGTGCAATTAATTAATTAACAGAAGGTTTTATGTTAATTACTCAAATTTATTCTTCCTTCTCCCCTAGGTTGGTATTTGTTTAAAAATGTTCTATCTTCCTCTATTTCTCCAAATTTTTCTGTGCTCGCTCATATTGTATTTAAATGTTACACAATTGAATGGTGGAAAGCCACCAGTCTCCATGCCCAAAACATGAAGAAGTTGTGCGGGGTAACTGTTTATGAGGAAGAACTTAGCACAGGTGTTTCCCTGTCAACCTTCTCAGCCAAAGAACAACGACAGTAGAGGAGGGACGGGGGACTCATAGCCACAAGAACAGCGAGCCTGGGGCTGGCAACCGAGCCAGGACATGGCTGGATTCCAGGAAGGCAGAGAGCCGAGGACCACAGCTCATCTGCTGCTATCCCTCAAATACACCTGTGGGAGTGACGTCCTGGGCGCCTGCCACCCGCGTGGGAGACCGGCTCCCGGCATCTACCCAGCCCAGCCCTGGTGACTGCAGGCACTTGAGGAGTGACCCAGAGAGGAAACACCTCTTTCTCTCTGTCTCTCTCCATCTCTCTCTCCCTCTACCTTTCAAATGGATAAATGAATCTAGGAAAAAGAGGCCAGTGATGGTTCAAGCAATCGTGTCCCACACTCCCATGAGAGACCCGGCTTGGGTTCCCAGCGTCAGCCCCAGCTTAGTTCTGACTGTTGCGGGCACCTGAGGGGTGAACCGGAAGATGACAGTTCTTTGACCATCTCTCTCTCTCTCTCTTCCGTCTGCTTGTCTCTGCTTTTCTCAAATAAGGAGGAATTAAATAAATGAATGAACACATAAATACACAAATAGTTTTTAAAAAGAGGAGCAGGTAATGGAGAAACAGCAGCAACTGGCAACCATTGATTAAAAAAAAAAAAAAAACGCAAGGGCCCAGCGCCATGGCCTAGCAGCTAAAGTTCTTGCCTTGAATGTGCCAGAATCCCATATGGGCACTGGTTCTAATCCCCGCAGCTCCCGCTTCCCATCCAGCTCCCTGCTTGTGGCCTGAGAAAGCAGTCAAGGATGGTCCAAAGCCTTGGGACCCTGCACCCGTGTTGGAGACCTGGAAGAAGCCCTAGGCTCTTCGCTTCAGATTGGCTCAGCTCTGGCCGTTGCAGCCACTTGGAGAGTGAATCCGCAGACAGAAGATCTTCCTCTCTGTCTCTCCTCCTCTTTGTATATCTACATTTCCAATAAAAGTAAGTAAATCTTTTAAAAAGAAATGAAATAATTATGTGTGTCAGGATGGCTAATTGGTTTAAGGTACCAAACTCAAAGAATTCCCTGGGTTTCAAGATCTTTCTGCTGCTTTTTGTTTGTTTTTGGTTTCCTGTTTTTGAACAGACTACACAAAGCATCCAGTAAATAAATATTACTCGACTCAAGGAATGTCTTTTTCTGGTCCTTTATACCATCAGGAGTGGATAAAGAGCCAATCTTCCTTCAGGGTGTTAAAAGTTGTAGGGTACAATGATTTTTGGAGTTTCTTTATTCACGTTAAAAGTGTTTTAACCATTCACCTCATCCACGGCTACGCCGGGCACCTGCTGCGTGCTGGGGATGATGGCAGCAACTGGGTGGCGGCCTGAGCAGTGCCTTCCTTGGAGCCCACAGTGCCTTAAGGAAGACAGACACGACGGACCCCAAAAGAGATGACTGCCTGTGATGGCAGGAACCACCCAGGAAAGTGCCCGTCATGCCCTGAAGCCACCAACTGCCCAGCGTACCTCGGATGGGGGCGTCAGATCTTGATGGCTCCTTCCTCCAGGATGGGACAAAAACCTTGATGGACGTGTGTCCTCTTTGCCTGAACCAGTCCACAGCCAGCTGGATCCCCCGGCAGGAGAAGACTTCTTTATTTCCATGACTGCAACAGGAAAACAAAGAAATCTCTAGAGACACAGAAAGCCTTCCCAAAGAGGGATTTCCCCTGCACGTGTCTTGGATGAATGTCACACAAGCAAGAGGGAGCCAGATGAGCCTGCACTTGACAGATACACTGCAAGAATGCCCCTTTATTTTGATCAGTATATTGCACTAATTACTTTAGGAATTTTCATTATATGAAATCTACTATGTGTCAGATGATTTAATCTAAGTGTTGGACTGCTAGCAGAACTTGTAAATTACAATAATTCAGAATTAGTAAGAAACAGTTCACCAGTGCTTAGTTTTATATTGAGGTGCTCACTCAGGTTGGAATAAAGTGGTATAAAAAGAAAAGAAAAGAAAAAAAAAATGCCCTTCGTCAGAGCTGCACAGCTTGTAAAAGAAATACAGGTAAGAGGTTCCCAGTCCCCAATGGGGAAACATTTCAAGGATTCATAGGCAAGATCCTGTTCTTAACTGAAGCTAACAAGGATGACACAGGATGGATGAGTGCAAGGAGCAGGCACTGGGGAGCAGTTAAGATGCAGCTTGGGATGCCTGTGCCTTGCATCACATTCTACCCATAACTCCAGCCTCCTGCTAGCAACATGCTGGAAGCATCGGATAATGGCTTAGGCAGCAGCTCTCCTGCCACCTACTTCGGAGATCCTCATTGAATGCCCAGTTCCTGGCTTCAGCCTGGCCCAGTCCTGGCTGTTGTGGGCATTGAAGGAATGAACCAAAGGATGGGAGCAGGTTCTGAGTTTGTGTATCTGTCTGTCTCTCTGTCCCTCAAGTCAATACAAATAAATATATTTTAAGATTTGATGGGAGTGGCCATCTTGATCATCTGACTTGCCTTGAGAGATGGCTAACTGTGTTTTTTGGTTTCCCAAGGCCAAGCAAGGTGGCCAACACCGCACAGACTCCATGGAGACCAGAGCCAGCCAAGGACAGAGTGGTGTGGGAACAGGGCCTTGTGTGCCTTACTGAAGATGTTCTCCTTTTTTTCTAAAGATGAAGGAAAAGCTAGGAGAAGGTTCTAGGATTGGAGGCTTATGTGATATGATGTGATGCGACATGCACAACTGCACCATAGGGGTAAGAGATCAGAAGGGAGCGAAAGCAGCGGCGGACATCACCTCGGAAGCCATCATGGTCATCCGAGGACACATTCAGGGTGCCCTGGACTACGCTGGTGGAGAGGAAGGCAGAAGTGTGGGTCAACCTGAGAGATGCTAGAAGCTAGAATTCCAGGAGACAGATCGGATATGTGGGTAATAGACAAGAAGCCAAGGAAGCTTCCAGATCTCTCTGCTCACATACCTGGAGGGTAGGATTCTGGAAGGGGTCGGGGTAAAGGAAAGATCATGAATTTGACTTTGGACACATATTGAGTTGGAAAAGGTTTTGAGGTCCCTAAGTGGAAACGTTAAGTGAACATTCAGGACTCAGAAGAGAGATCTAAGTGACCACTGGACATCCTTGTTTAAACTACAATAGAAGCCGCCACAGGAGGCTGGCCTGGAGACAATGGGAGAGGCATGGGCCTGGGACTGGGCATGGGGCAGCACTGGTCAATCCTGGCAGGTGACAGGCAGAGGAGGGCCATCTCACAGAAGAGATGGACAGAATCCATCAGATGAGTGAAGCAGGCAGTTGAAAGCTGGGCCAGTAGGCCCGGTAAGGTAGCCTAGTGGATTAAATCCTCGCCTTATATGTGCCAGAATCCCATATGAGTACCAGTTCTAGTCCTGGCAGCCCCACTTCCCATCCAGCTCCCTGCTTGTGGCCTGGGAAAGCAGTCGAGGATGGCCCAAAGCCTTGGAACTTTGGAAGAAGCTCCTGGCTCCTAGCTTTGGATTGGCTCAGTTCCAGTCATTGCAGCCACATGGGGAGTGAATCAGAAGACAGAAGATCTTCCTCTCTATCTCTCCTCCTCTGTATAGCTGCCTTTCCAATAAAAATAAATAAATCTTAAAAAAAAAAAAAAGCAAGCAAGCCAGCCTGGCCAGCCTGGCCAGCCTGGCCAACCTGAGCCAGCTGAAGACTTCTCACAGACCTAATAAGTTGGGGGGCAATGGTGTTCCGCAGAGCAGGTGCACGGGACACATACCTGAGACCCTGCTCAGGTTCAATCGGCAGAGCTAGCCAGGACAGTCACAGGTTTGCAAGCAGGAAAGGAAGTCTTGAGAAGTGTTCATCCACAGAACTGGAAACCGGGCTTTGTGGAAACTCAGGAGAACCTCGGGCATTTCCCTTGGGTCAGGAGCCAAGGAGGGGCAGACTCAACCTGGGCTTTCTTTCGGGGTGAAGGAAATGGGTCTTTGGCCATGGGATTGTGCGAACAGTAAGGAGGGGTGGGTATCAATGGGGATGCCTGACACCAGAGAGAAGAGGAAGCAGGACTCATCCCTCAAACCCCAGCGGGAGGGACAAAACAAGAGGTGATGAACGGAAGAATGAGGCATCACTCCCCAGGGACCCTCTGCACACCAGCCCCAGTCCCGCCACTGAACTCTTCCCACTGGCCTGGTGACACCCCCACCAGAAGCCAGGCTGGCCCTGCCACTCTAGCGACAGAGCCCAGGAAGGGCCAAGTGTCCCTCCCCCATCCAAAACCAGATCTCAAAACCCCAGGGTCCTCTGGGAAGAACACCAGAGGGAGGGACCAGAAACACACACCCTGACTTACGCAGAGGACAAGACACAGAGGTGCTTTCCCGGGCTACAAGCAGAGAGCTGGGTCAGAAGGGGAACAGCCACGACTTGAACCAGTGTCCATATGGGATGCCGCCACAACACATAGAGGCTTAGCTTACTGCGCCACAGCACCCGCACCTCTATATGTTTTGAATAATTTAGAAGCCAACTTTCCATCCAGACACCTCAGCTGATGGGGGCAAGCACTCAGCAGTAAAGGACAGTGGGGGAGGCAAATCCCTGCAGCCATGGCATGGGGGTCTGCTGCTCATACCGAGGCACATGCACGCCTACGCTCTGCTTCCTGGACTCGCCGCCGTTTATGAACATCCACTGCCACCACGCGGCCAGGGCCGAATGAGAGGCCTCACACCAGCCTCTTAGAGTTCTGTTGATCAGGCCATTCGGCACATTCCCATTGCATTGGATAATTACAGTAATCCCTTCCTACATGACCTTCCTTCCCATTCCAACCTGCAGGAAACAGGAGCAAGGCAACCGGCCTGCTCCTGGAGCTAAGCCAGCAGGAGGCCTGGGCCCACCCCCTGCCCATCTCTCGGATTGCAGACTCATTCGCATCCCCCTTCCTGCAGGCCCCTGTGACTCCACAGTCACCTGAGCCCTTTTCCTGCTTGGGGAAAGTCCTTCCCATAGTTATGAACTACGCACAGAGAGACGTTGTGAGCAGGAGGGGTAAGCACCTTCACCTTGAACAAAGACGAGTAGAAGCCACCTGAACACCCAGGGCAGCCAGGGCAGTCATGGGAACCTCAGGTGGAGCACAGCTCCCCAGGGACTTATTTATTTGAAAGGTAGAGCTAGGGGAGTTTGGAGGAGGGAGAGACACAGAGAGTTTCCATCTATTATTGGCTTTCTTTTCAAATGTTGTTGGGGCCAGGCCAGGAGCCAGGAGCCTCTTCCAGGTCTCCCGTAGTCAGACCATCTTCTGCTGCTTTCTCAGATTCATAATTAGCCAGGGGAGTTGGTTCAGAAGTGGAGCAGCCGAGACTCAAATCAGCATCCATATGAGATGGCAGCACCATAGGCAGAGGCTTACTGCACAATGCCACAGTGCCAGCTCCTGTGGTTCACATTTTAAACCCCCAAGGACTCAGAGGCCTCCTACTATTTCTGGAGCATGGACTCATTCAACAAGTGGAGTGATCAGGCTTGAACTCATGGGCCAAGTGCTTGGGCCCCTGCACCACATGGGAGACCTGGAAGAAGTTCTGGGCTCCTGGCTTTGGACCAGCCCAGTACCAGTCACTATAGCCCCCTGGGGAGTGAACTGACAGATGGAAAATTTTCTCTCTCTCTCTCTCCTCCTGTCTTTCACATAAATAAATCTTTTTTTAAAAAAAAATAATAAAAATAATAACAACCACCCAAACAAAAAACCCTGTACATCCCCAAGCAGACACATCAAATGACAGCCTCTTCAGGAGCAGCAAGAGGATGTGAAATTGTCAAGTGGTTTCCTCCCACGCTGAAACAGTTCACCTCCCTCCCTCTCTTCTAGATTTGCCTACGGAAGGAAAAGTCGGCTGGGCCCTGGGGAAGGTGCCAGCCTCCCACAGGCTAAGGCTGCAGCAGCTGGCTCAGGAGAACCCGGGCTCTCACAGCGATGCACTTTGCAGTAGGCCTGCCATGCAGACTACCTCTTTTTTAGAAAGTTGCTGGACTTTTCTAAGGACTCAGATACTCAACTGAGTGGCCCAGGCTGCCAGCTGCCCATGTAAACCCACACACACTCCTTGGCGGCACGAGACTATCCTTGGAAATGGGTCTCTGTCTTGCTAGTCAGTCAAACTATCATTCAGTGCACATGCAGCACCCAATGCTTGGAGCCCCTGAGGGCCAGGGGCAGCAATGCCAGGAGAGTAGAGGCTAGCCCGGCAGGGAGGACTGCGGGCCCTAAGGAGGAGCACCACTGCAGAGTACTCCAGACTGTTCTATGACCTCTGGCACGTTCTTGATCTCTCCAAACCTCCAGAGAACATGAGAAATACCTCTATAATGAAAATGCATTCATTTCCTTCAAGCATACATAAAATAATCACCTTGTATCTTAGCATGTCTGAGACGAGAATGTCATTTAAGGCTGTGGAGTGCAACCTTTTAGTTGTATAAACAAAATTACTGAAGCTCCACAACTGGCGAGCTGAAGAATCCAAAGTGCACCACATCTTGCATGTGGCTACTTCGCGTTTAATCTCAAACTCACTCGAAGGAAATCAACAGCCAAACTCAACAAGTGGCTACCCTAATAGGGCAAGTCTAGAACTTTCCATCTTCCCAGGGCAGACCTGACCTGGAAGTTAGAGATCAGAACTACAGGCACTGAGTCCATGTCCATCCACTGTCTCAGACAAGACTGTGCGGCAAGTGGCAGGCCTGGCTTCCCGTGCCCTGCACTGACTCCCCACACAACACTTAGAATTCTCATGAAAGTTGACCCAACACTTCTGAAATGATTCATGAAGCTGGTACTTCTGCTAACAAGAGCCCAGAGGACTCTCTGCTTTGCAATGAGGAAATGGAGTGTTTTAGGTTCTTTGTGTGGCAGCTCTACACACAGTTCACTTTTGTTTAAATGATTCAAGCACAGGATGTTTCACGAAGCAGACAACTTCAAACACTCCCACTCCTTACACAACGTGTATGGCCTGTGCAATGGCTTGGATATTATGAATGCTGAAAGTCTTTCAAAAACCCGGTTATTAAATATTTGATCCCCAAAGAATTATGCTAATGGCATGAAGAGGATAGGAATTTAATCCAGGTACAGTGTCTAGTGGCAGACCTTCGGGAAGCAAGGAGGTTTAACTGCATGGTTAGCATGGATCAAGTCCCAGGGATAAGACCCTGGTGGCTGCATGGGAGAGCACACGGACATGAACAGACATGCATGCCCTCTCACCACATCATGATCTGCGCCACCTCAGGACTCTGCCTTCACCGATGGTGGAGCCCATGGTGCCACCTTACGGCCCCACTGCCTCTTTCTTTCACAGGTAGTTCACCAGCAGAAAAGAAGTTAAATGCTATAACATGACTCTTTCTGTTGTCCCCTGAAAAAGTCAGCCCAGGCCTTCCGGGTTCTGCCATGATGAACACCCTTGAGCTAAACATTGTGTAACACTGGGGGCACATAGCGGCACAATCAGGGAGTACACCAACAGGGCCCAGAGGCTGACTGAAGGCCCAAGCCCATCACGTCCCTTCCCATGCAACAAGACCTGATGGGCTCTGCTGTCAGGACAGCAGCTCACTGCCTCCTGCAAGGAAGAGAGAAGCAAAGCCCTGGCCACCAAGCACAGTTATCCATAACAGCACGTTCTACAACAGCGGGATTTAAGTCACCGAGCAGCAATTGGCCATACTTAGACATGCTGGTCTGCAAGAATCCACCACAACAGGACTTAACAGAGATAGCGAGAGGAAAAGAGCTGTTCCTTGTGAGCAGAGACACAGACCACCAGGGACCCCAGGAGACCGAGGCCTGGAACAGCACTCTGAGGGTCACTGCTCAACAGCTCCAGGTAGAAAGGAGGTGAGCCCCACCCACTCAAGCCCCGCCCAGGCCTTCAGGGCCAGCTATCCCCTTCAAAACATAAAGCATGCACCGCCAAAAACCCTCAGCAAACCCTCAGTTAGGATGGCTTTGGGGAGCATCCGAGGTCATGGACAAGAAGGAAGCGCTGCTCAGAGTCTCCCACCCTGTCAGAAGTGTGATCCACCTGGGTGTGTCTTCCTCACTGTGGCTTAGGCAGACCCCGAGCGACCTCGTCATGCTGAAACACCAGAGGAAGCCACAGCAGTGGTCACTAATGTCAAGGGGCAGAGGAGACTCCTCGCTCTCTCCCACAAGTCATCTTTGAAAGGAACAAATCGGACCCAGCACAGTGGCTTCATTGGCTAATTCGCCCCTCCTCAAGTGCCAGAATCCCATCCAGTCACCAGTTCATGTTCCTGCTGCTCCACTTCCCATCCAGCTCCCTGCTGGTGGCCTGGGAAAGTAGTAGAGAACAGCCCAAAGCCTTGGGACCTTGCACCCGAGTGGGAGACCTGGAGGAAGCTTCTGGCTCCTGGCTTCAGGTTGGCTGAGCTCCAGGCATTGCGGTCACTTGGGGAGTATGCCAGCGAATGAAGGATCTCTCTCTCTCCCCCTCCCTCCCTCTGTAAAATCAGTCTTTCCAATAAAAATAAGTAAATCCAAAAGGAAGGAAGCAAGGAAGCAAGGAAGGGATGGAGGGAGGGTAGGAGGGAGGGAGGGAAAGAGGGAGGAAAGGGAGGGTGGAAGGGAGAAAATCAAGTCCCAAGATCAGGTGATGGCTGGGTAATTTGTCCTCTTTTCCTCTTGGGATATGAGGAGCAGGGGGAAGCTGTGTGTGTGTAGATATGTATAAATGTGTATATGGTAGTGCATGCAAATAGCTACACACAGATATGTGTGTCCTGGGGAACTGATGTGTTTTGCCCGTACACACAGATGACCGCTTCTATGCTCTGACACATTCATTCTTCATCACGAGTGTGAGCAGTGGTTTCCACATTGAACACTCCCCTGTCCCCTGACTGAGCATGAAGGGGCTCAAATGAGTACAGTGGTGGGAGGCGGGATGGAGGAAGAGAAGCAAGACAAATTTACCCAGAACACATGACAGTCATGTGAACACAGAGGACGTGGCTTATGCTTGGATTCCACGCAGTAACAATGGCTCCCCCCGAAAAAACACCTTCCCAGGCCACCACTTCCTAACACCTCCTGCACTCTGGACCTCAAGCAGAGCCCTGACGCTTTCCTGTAGCCCCTAAAGCAGTCCTTCTACCCCAAATGCATTGCACTGCTTTGATTTGGAACCACAGAACTCATGTGACCTTGGGGCTGGGGAGGTCTTTGGTTTCTGTGATACCATCTTACACTCAGAGGCCACATTCCACTGGCGCCCAGAGCGAGCACATAGAAGCCAGCCCTCTTCCATATCCCTCCGCCCAGATTTCCAGGCTCTTAGACCCTAGCAGCTTGCCGAAAGCCTCTTCATCTCTGCAAAGCTCTCAACTTGAGCAGGATAGTACAGACCTGCCCATCTGACCTTCCAGGAAGGTGGGTAAGAAGGTGACAATAACCTTGTGACCCAAGCTCTTGAGTCCCAAAGAGGAGGACCCATCGCTGGTTAAAAACTGAAACTGCAAGGGCAGGCAGTCGGCATGGCAGTTAAGACACCACTTCCGGGGCACCCACATTCTATTCCAGTGCTTGGGTTCAAGTCTGTTCTCCATTCCCAACCCCAGATTCTTGCTAATACACACACCGGGAGGCAGCAGGTCTCTTGGAGCAGCTCATGGGGTTAGATCTCCGTCATCCAGGCGGGCGCCCGGGCTAGGTTCCAGCCTCCAGCTTGTCCTGGCCCAGTCCTTGCTTTGTGAGCATTCAGAGAATGAACCAGTAGCTGAAAGACTTTTAATATCTGTCTCTAATTCATTCTCTCTCTATCTCTCTCTCTTCCCCCTCTCACTTCCCCCTTGTCTTTCAAATTAAATGGAGTGGGGCAGATATTGGGGCAAAGCATGGGCTACAGTTTCACCTACACTTCCAATTCATGCCTACCATGGGATGCAGTAGATGATAGTTCAATTACTTAGGCCCCTGTCACCCAAGTGGGAGACCCAGATAAACTTGTTGGCTCCTAAATTTGTTCTGGCCCAACTCTAGCTCTTACACACATTTGAAGAATGAACCATCAGATGTGTTTGTGTGTGTCCCTCTGCCTTTTTTTTTTTTTTAAGATTTATTTATTTATTTTTATTACAAAGTCAGATATACAGAGAGGAGGAGAGACAGAGAGGAAGATCTTCCATCCGATGGTTCACTCCCCAAGTGACCGCAACGGCCAGTGCTGCGCCAATCCTAAGCCAGGAGCCAGGAGCCTCTTCCAGGTCTCCCACACGGGTGCAGGGTCCCAAAGCCTTGGGCCGTCCTTGACTGCTTTCCCAGGCCACAGGCAGGGAGCTGGACGGGAAGCAGGGCGGCCGGGATTAGAACCGGCGCCCATATGGGATCCTGGTGCACTCAAGGCGAGGACTTTAGCTGCTGGGCCACGCCGCCGGACCCCCTTCTGCCTTTCAAATAAATAATAATTAAACCTGAAAAACTAAACAAGGACCCAACGCGGTAGCCTAGCACCTAAAGTCCTCGCCTTGAACACACCAGATCCCATATGGGCACTGGTTCTAATCCTGGCAGCTCTGTTTCCCATCCAGCTCCCTGCCTGTGGCCTGGGAAAGCAGTCAAGGACAGCCCAAAGCCTTGGGACCCTGCACCCGTGTGGGAGACCTGGGAGAGGCTCCTGGCTCCTGGCTTAGGATTGGCGCAGCACCGACCGTTGCACTCACTTAGGGAGTGAATCAGAGGACAGAAGATCTTCCTCTATGTCCCTCCTCCTCTCTGTATATCTGATTTTTAATAAATAAATAAATCTTAAAGAAAAATAACTAAACAAATGCAGCTTTTGGCAATGGCAGTATCACAGCCAATGAAGTTCATCCAAGGCACAATTAGTTCTAATTGAAAAACTGAGCCACCATTCTGAGTACACTGCATGCACAGTACACAGGGCATGTGGGGGCATCTTCCAAGGCTGGGTCATCTCGGGTGAACCATTTTAAGCTGGTGCCTGCATAATGCCAAATTCAAAGTGAGCCCAGCTCCCCTGGGGCAAACTCACGGATGCTCTGACGCCTTCAACGCTGCCAAGAACTGCTTTACTGGGTTCAGATTTCAGCTCTAGGAAAGGGAAGCACGTACAGTTACAGCCGTGAGTGAGTACTTTCCGATGGCTCTGCCCCTTGCCCGGCTCCAACTAAGCCAAGTGGTAGAAAGCTACACTTGTTTGCGCCACACCCTTCCTGGCCCAGCAGGGAGTGTGGAGACAGTTGGAGCAGATGCTCAAGGCCAAGTTTAGTCAAGCCAGGACAGACAACCATGTAGGCCTGATGCTCACAGTTCCAGAGCACATGAAGTTGCCTCTGCAGCTTAGGAGACCACAAACACATCTCTCAAGCCTAACAAGGAAACCACAACCCCATCTCCCCAAGAGCCCCAGCGGACTGCTTCCATCACGAGTCAGGCACCTCTCCCGTGGGAGTCTCATGACCCGGAGTGGAGCAAAAGAAACTGTCGGCCTCAAGAAACAAGTGCCATGGCCTTGGCAGAGTCACACACAGCGGACAGGGACACACTCTAGACAAGTAGCCCCGTCTGCCAACCCCTGGCCTGGGCTTCTCCCCAGGGACCGCTGCTTCCCCAGATAAAGACTGGATGACACAGGAACAGCACCCACGTGGTAGACACTTCCGCTCCAGGCACCTCGGTGTTTTGTTCTCACATCTAGCCCCTAGAGAAGCTCTAGCCCCGCATCACCCACGGAGAAAATAACACCCTAAGAGGTGAAGGGACTTGCTTATGACTGTTTTCAGGACAAAGACTCAAAATGCTACCTCCGCCCCGCACCCCCACAAAGCTTTGTGGCCCAAACACAGAGAAGAAGGACAGTTCTCTGGTCTCCTGAAAACAAATGCCCCCCTCCTCCACTCCCAAGCACAAGTGAGAGCTACCTCATCGCCACGTTGCTGCCATCAATCACGATGGGACGCAGGGAACTGGCTGGGTCTCCACAGTCCTCTTCTGGAGCTGCCCCCGAGCCCCAAGGAGCAGAATCTGGGAGCCCACTGGAGCCCCGAGGAACAAGCTGGGGCACAGTCTGGGTCTCCCGGGCCCCAGGGCGGCTTCCCGTCCGGATCAGCTCCTGAAGCACATCGTTGACCAGAGCGCCATCCCCCAGCTTGCCCAGCACCTTGGCCACATCCTCCTGGCTGTAGCCCAGCTTCTGGAAGAAATCCATTTTACTCGAACGGTCCATGCTGGCTCAGCTGCCACCTGGAGAGGGTCCTGCCCCCAGCCTCCTCCTTGCAGTGCCCCACACATATGCACTAAAGAGAAGAAGCATCTGTCAGGTATGTTCTGGGCACGGGTTCCTGAGAGCCGTGACGTACGCGCTCCCTCCCTCCTGCTAGTATCTATCAGGAAATCATGTCAGTCTGGGCCCCTTGGGGATTTTCAGTCCCTGTGTGGGTGGGGAGCTGCAGGTGCAGGCACACTGCTTTTGCATTCATGGGGCCTTTTCCTCTCACCCCACACAATGCCCCCACAAGGAACACGCGCCAGACACCAACGTGGCTGGGACCGAGCTGGGCACCCCTTACCCCAGACCACAGAACCTCTGCAAAGAGCCATACGATGTTTACTTGAAGCCCACACCTTACAGCGTGACTGATTGGGAGACAAGGTCTATCAGAGGAGGCCGGAAGGATGGGAGTCCTGGTAAGAAGAAGGCATTTGGGTACAGACACACACAGGATGATCCCAGGAAGATGCAGCGCGAAGAGCAGCCGTCTGCAAGCCCAGGAGCGAGACCTCAGAAGAAACCAACCTCGGTCTTGACCTTGACTCCAGCCTCTGGAAGTGTGTGACCATGATTCCCGGGCTGAGGCTGTGATCCATGCACTAGCCTGCAGCAGCTCAGGTATGTAAACCTGGGCCTCTTGGGTTATTCAGGGGAATTTCCCCCCCAACCTGTTCTGCTCTCCTGCATTGGCAATGCCTGCCCTACCAGTGATCACCCTGACCCTGGAAAACAAGAGGTCCTGACCCAACTTTGACCTCTCCCAGCCGGGCATCACTGCCTAGCTGCCAACCGCAGGGTGGCAGGGAAGGGGGTCGCAGCTTACGGGGTATTTTCAAAAGAAAGACGACGACTAACCTGACAGGAAATCCAGGAAACACCCAGTCCCTCTGTTTTCCACCCTCAAAGATCCACACCTTTGAAAAACATTTAAAACTCATAATCGTGAAAACATTTACTATGAACAATTCAAACAATGCCAAAGTATGAAAAATAAAAAGTCTTTCATGCATCCCTAGCTCCATTTGTCCCCTGCTGTTTCCCCTGCCCTTCTAGTACTTTCCCAATGATTTACTTGCATACCTAAGAGAGACACACAAATATGGTTTCAGGATTGTCTTGCTTTATATAGATAGTGTCATGCTTCCCATTTTGTTATTGAAAATGCCTTGTCGGGGGAGGTACTTGGCCCGGTGGGGAAGGCACTGCTGGGGGGCAGGGAGACTACAGCCAAGAGCATACCTGGTTTGAGTCCAGCTCCCGGCTCCAGTTCAAGTTTTTGCTAATGTGCACCCTGGGAGATAGCAGATATAGCTTGGTTTCTGCCATCCGTATCGGAGCCCTGGGTTCAGTTCCCAGTTCCCTCCTTCAGCCTGGCCAGCCCTATTGCGTGCTTTTGAGGGATGAACCAGAACACAGATACCTCTCTTGTTCACTCGCTCGCATTTTGGAAATTTTCCGTAACACTTTACCTACTATATCCTTCGAAGTTAGCACAAAGCCTAATGCGGTTGAATCAGTCAGATTTGTAGGTGGATCGATGGACAGGTGGATGGAGCTCTCTAGCGTTTAAACACACGGCTACACGACAGAATTTAGTGTTGTTCCCCTGGCTGCTGTTAGAAGGCCTGTGGGGTGTATATCCTTGCACATCTGTCTTTCACCGCCGTCTTTTCTCAGGGTCACTGCTTCATCCACGTCAACTCCTACTCTATGGGAGCCTCTCTCAGGCTGCTGCCTCTCTGCTAGCTTCCCTGCTTGGTTCCGCTTGCTCTCACAACCTCCCCTGACAGTGCGGGAACCGGCCAGCACTCCGCCCCCAGCAAGGCAGATGCTCAGGTCCCACTTTCCCATAGCTCACAGCAGGAGGAGCCACCACTAAATCCTTGACACTGTCCACTGCCCCCAGGCCATCTGCCCTTCTATATGCCTTAGTTGAACGGCACCTCTACATCCTCACGTGACACATACAGTTCCCTACCACTTTTCCTTTCCTTGTTTGTTTGTTTTCTGAGAACAAAACGTTTCCTATCCTAATGGATTTTTTTTTTTTAATTTGAGACACACGTGTCAAAGGGCGGGGAGAGAGAAGAGAAAGAATTTGCATCTTCCGGTTCACTCCCTAAATGCCCACAATGACAGAGGTTGGGTCAAGATAAAGCCAGAAGCTGGGAGCTCAGTGCTGGTCTCTCATATTGGTAGCAAGAACCCAGCTGTTGGAGCCATCACCTTCCGCCTCCCAGGTTCAGGGGACACGACTGAAAATCGCCCTTAAGCACTCTCATGTGTGATGCAGGTGCCATGACACCTGCTCCAAGGCTGCCCCCTCAAGGTGTGTTGCTTTGTCTGCTTCCCTTCCTATGCTTTAACACCTCTCGCCTCTGCTCACTTCTTCAACATCAGGGTCCTGCTCAGGGTATCTATGCCCCCAGCTGCACATGTGGCGCCCACAGAGCACTAACTAGGAGCAAAAGTTATAAATGCAGGACAGGCATGCCATGCAAGCTTTGTACCCAAAAATCCTATAGGGTCCTAGAACACTGTCATTGAACATATGCTAAATATCTACCTCCAGGCTTCTTAAAATGGGGTCCAGGGAAACTTAGACACTTGGAGGTAAATTTTATTTTCTTAATAATACTAAGATTCAGTTTGCCTGTGTCACTCCCATGCATGGACAAGTATAAGTATGTAAGGGAATATTCTACAAATTCTATGTGATGTCATTTCGATAGTTCAAATGCAGAAACAGATATAAGAATCCAGCTATCTTCTATTAATATTACATAGTTGGTAAAACTCTAAATCAGTACTAGTCTTCTTAGTAATTCTTTTTGCTTTGGCAAATAAAGTTGATTTTCATAAAGATGTCATTTCTGTTTGTGTAATTGTTTTATTATTTAATATGAAATGAATTTTAAAGTTTATAGTAAAGCATCTATCAATAGATATAAGCCATACAAACAAAAACTCTTTGAGACTCTTAGTCATTTTTTGCAAGTGTGTATCAGTTCTAAAACCAAAAAGTTTCTTTGTGAAACACAGAGCTGCCCCAACAGTAACTTTTACACAGATGGTCTTATGCACTTATGACCCTTTCCCCAGGGCCCACACAGCAAGCCCATGACTCCCCCAACGCCTAGTTAGGCCCTTTCAGGCCCACCTTCTATCACTCCCTTGGCCACCAGAGCCACAGTCCTGCCTCTTCATCCCTCCCCAGTTCAATGCAACAGCCTCGGTGATGGGCTGGTGCCACTGGCATCAGGCCTCTCCAGCTCAGAGCTGGCATTGTATTTCGAGAGCAAGCCAGACCACATCACCCCCTGCTTAGAAATGCCCTCAAGTGGAGCTGGCACTGTGACATGCCAGGCTCAGCTTGCGGCACCAGCATCCCATTATGGGCGCCAGTTTGTGTTCCAGCAGCTCCACTTCCAACCCAGCTCCCTGTCTGGGAGCTAACGGTCTGGGAAGATAACAGAAGAGGGTTCAAAACCTTGGGCCTCTGCACCCACATGGGATGCCCTGAAGAAACTCCAGTTTCTTGGCTTTGAACAGGCCCAGTTCGGCCATGGCAGTCATTCTGAGAATGAACCAGTGGATGGAAGTTCTGTCTGTCCTTCTCTCTCTGTAACTTGTCTCTCAAATAAAAATAAAACAAACCTTCAACAATTAAAAAAATAATAATAAATAAACACTCTCCACTCTACTGTGGACCACAAAAAGACCCCGTTTCCTGAGCGGCTGACAGTCACCTGAGGATGCAGCTCCGAGCCAACCCACCTCACTTCCCTCACTGACCCACCTGACCCTCCCTGCTCCCAAGGCATTCCAGCACCTTCTCATCGCTGTGCTTCTGCATTCACAGGAAGGCTCTTTCTGGCTTGGTCAACTTCCAGAATCAGCCAGTGCATCTCAGGAGTTTAACACATTCCTATTTAATAAACGTCCGGTAATGGAGCTATCCTCCTGTCTTGGATATTTTGTCCTTGGGTTCCCAATGACATGAAAGGGCAGCAGCCCGCTGAGGCCCAAGGAAGAAATGTCGAGGTCATTTCGACTCCTCTCTTCCCCTCACTTCTGCACACCTTGGTCATGGAGCCTGTTTCCTGACATCTCCCAGAACCATGGTCCTGAGTTCTCACACCCCACTGCCCTAGTCCATCTAATCCTTTATGGGAAAAAACCCTTGAGCAACATCTATTTAACACCAGCACTGGTGTGGCTGCCCAGAGTAAAAGAGCAAAATGACACCCCATCCAGTTTTAACTCATGCAACCACCTGTTGAGGAAAACAGCAAGTGTAAACAACAAGCTGTAAAGCACGAACATAAGCACAAGACTTCCTGCGAGAAAACAGTGCTTCCCAAATCCAGGAGAGGAATGACGGAATCTGCCTCCGAGGGCAAGGAAAGGCCAGAGAGTCCCTCACAGAACTGGGCAATGAAGGACAGCTAAGACTTGCTCCAGGCCAGAAAAGCATCATCACCCATGGCTACCAGGGAGGTCTCCCTTGAACATCACAGCACCCACCTCCAGTACAGTTGCTGCATACACCCCCAAGGACATTAACTGTGTCAGTATACCAGTCCAAGACTCCCATGTCTCCCCTTCCCAAGCTCCCACGTGCACCTGTTCTGGACA